CCCCCCGAAACGAAATCCTGGCTACGGGCCTGCTGTGATAGTTTTATCTGAGGTTGTCATAAGTGAGATATTAATATTAGCCAGATCTGTTCCCCATCTGCCAGACAGCTCACAAGGATTTCTAGTATTCCCCTCTTTCTGAGTATGTGTCTGGTTTTGATCATGAGTGCTATAAAATAATTATGTCAGGGCTCACCAATCTCCCCCCCCCCCTTGTTTGTTCCCACTCACCTTTGAGAAGATTTATGGTCTTGCTGGGTCACCCATTATATTCCCAACTACATCATTCTGCTTAAAGCTTTGAAGCATTTGCYGAACAGCTCATCATTATGCTTCTTTTTTGGAGGCCTTCCTGTGAAAACTTATTGCAGCTAACTTTGGCAAAATGCAAAGCAGTGATTATTATTGATTAATCAGTGATCAATACACCAATACACATTGTTGKTTAGCAAATATCACAGATTTYAATTATTCCAACCTATGACTCTTCAGTATGACTTCAGGACCCACAAATACAAGAACAATGGCTTAGAGAAATCATATTAATAAGTAAATATTTCAACACTTGGATTCTTTAACATTCAATTGCAGAGAAGCCAATGTTTTCCAGGCATGATTTCTGATATAAAAGTTGAAACAGGGAGCAGTCAACCCCCCTGTTTAAGGAGCTCCATTGGCTGCCATTTATTTTCCGGTCCCAATTCAAGGTGCAGGTTATCACCTATAAAGCCCTAAACRGTTTGGGACCCGCCTACTTTCGTGACCACATCTCCTACCACAAACCTGCATGATCCCTTCGATCCTCGGGGGAGGCCCTCCTTTCGCCCCTTCCTCCATCACAGGCATGACTTGTGGGAACGAGGGAGAGAGCCTTCTCTGCTTTGCCCCCCCCCCCAGCTGTGGAATTAGTCACCTGGCGAGATTAGGCAAGCCCCCACCCTAACAGCCTTTAAGAAAGATCTAAAAACTTGGCTTTTCCATTGTGCTTTTGGAGAGTRGCCATATATTTCATTTCTGGTGCTTCGCCATCAGTGTTGCCCTCATTTTGCATTTTCCTCCATTTTATTGAAGGCCTAACTCCACTGTTTCGACCCCTATGAGCTCTTCCTTCATAAATATACCTTTTTCAATGATATCTCATCTCGGATTTTATCATTTTATGTTGTGCATTTGGCCCGCCCACTGTGTTTGATTCTTTGTCATGTTATTTTGCACTGTTTATTGTACTTGAATGTCTTATTTATTTCATTGTGGTGTTATTTTGTTGATTTGTACTCTTTGCTGTAATGTATCGTCGGGCTTGGCCTCATGTAAGCTGTTCTGAGTCCCCTTTGGGGGAGATGATGGTGGGGTATAAATAAAGTTTATTATTATATTATTATCTAGGTATTACAAATTCACTAATAATAGCGGATCACTTGCATTTCTATGGCTATTCACAAACACAGTATACCTATAAAGTTCACTCCAAGCAGACTTAGAATGCATCTATGCTGTAGAATGAATGTACTTTGACATGACTTTAACTGCCATGGCTCAATGCTATGGAATTCAGGGATTTGGACTGCATTAGCACTCCTTTTGTCAAAGRAAATTAAAATACCTTATGAAACTAGAATTTCCATAATTGATTCTAATACTACAAATTGGGAGACCAGGGTTCRAATCATTTATTGGGCATTGAAACCCATTGGAAGACTTTGGGTAAGGCTGGATCTACAGTGCCAAAAAATGCAGATTCAAAATAATGCATTTAACTGCATTGAACTCCCCAAATGTCAGCCCAGCTAGATGTGACTGTCAGGAGTGCTTACTAAGAGCTTTTGCTTGATGTGCCAGCTGCACCCCTTCGTAGAGGGCCCAAAGATGGTAATGCTGGCACTGGTGACCTCAAGACTGGACAGTTGCAATGTGCTTTTTGTGTCTATTTCAGAAACTCCAAGTAGTTCAAAATACGACAGCCAGATTGGTTACATGAAAATCCAGGAGTGAGCATATTGCACCCATACTGAAATTATTCCAATGACTGCCAATTAGTTTCTGGACATTATACAAGGTGTTGCTTTTGACCTTTCAGGCTGTACATGGTTTGGGTCCAGATTCCTATAGCATGGCCTTCGCCCATACAATCTGCCCTCTACACTTAGGTCCTATGGGCAGCATTTACTCCAACCAGTCATAAATAAACTGACAACCATAGAATCGTAGAATCATAGAGTTGGAAGAGACCTCATGGGCCTCCAGTCCAACTCCTGACCCCCCACCCACCCCACTGCCCCCAGTTAAAGAAGATTGACATATCTGCCATTCAACAGCACCACCCTGACAGATGGGCCATGCCCCACCCAGCCTCTGTTGTTTAAAAAGGTGCTTCCAAATTAAGTAACCCTTCCACCCACACTCTGGTGCCGAGAGTTTTTGCCCCATTGCTGAAATGGGCCTCAGATGGAATCTTCCCTTATTTTCCCCTTGTAGTTTTGAAAGCCAATTTGTTTCCGCGTTCCGCTAGTACCTCCACGGGTAAGAACAGAAAAAAACAGGTTTTTGCCTTTCCGCTCCTCCCTATGGCCTTTCCTCCCCCTCCATATATTTTTTTATTAAGACCCCTCCTCAGCTTTAGATGCTGGTAAGAAACAACTTTAAAACATGTTTTTCCAGCCTACATCTTATGAACCGCTGCTGTTTATAATAATGCATGAAACATCTACTGTTACTCATCAGTTTAAAGTGCTGCAAGGTGATTTCAATTGGATGAATATTTGATGAGGCCTAATGAGGATGAGGGGTTTTCCCCCCAAATGTGGAAAACACAAATATTTTCCCCCCCCAGTGTGGATCTAAACCCCAAGCCGGAATAGAGAGGGGTTAGCAAATGACCCCTTTTTTTCCCCCTGGGATCTAAAAACCCCTAAAATGCCCCTCCTATTTTGTCACTGTTGAACTTCATTTTGTTAGTTTTGGCCCATCTCTCTAATCTGTCAAGATCGTTTTGAATCCTGCTCCTGTCCTCTGGAGTATTGGCTATCCCTCCCAATTTGGTGTCGTCTGCAAACTTGATGATCATGCCTTCTAACCCTTCATCTAAGTCATTAATAAAGATGTTGAACAGGACCGGGTCTGCATCGCCTGAGATCTGCGAGTGCAGCATTTTTCTGAATGAAGCAGAGAGTGTTTGTGAACCAGACAGCTATAGGACTACCAAGGTGGTTGTTTATAAAACTATTGTCCTCCCAATCCTGCTATACACCTGCAAAATGTGGACTGTCTACAGATGTCACGCTCAACTCCTGGAATGATTCCATCAGCGATACCTCTGAAAGATCCTGCAAATCTCTTGGTAAAACAGGCGGACAAATGTCAGCATGCTGGAAGAAGCAAAGACCATCAGCTTTGAAGCGATGCTCCTWCACCATCAACTCTGCTGGACTGGCCACGTTGTCCGGAAGCCCGATCACCATCTCCCAAAGCAGTTACTATACTCCAAACTCAAGAATGGGAAAATGTAATGTTGGTGGACAAGAAAATAGATTGAAAGATGGGCTTAAAGCCAACCTTAAAAACTGTGACATAGACACCGAGAACTGGGCAGCACTGGCCCTTGAGCGCTCTAACTGGAGGTCAGCTGCACTCTAACCTGGAGGTCACTGCGGGAGAACATGAGGATCAAGAATAGACACAGACACCTACGGACCTACTGCCAACACACTACACTTGGAGGACCATCATCCTCGTGCTACAAGGGATCACCTAAGTAAGTATTATTGGGTTGTTGCGGGTTTTCTGGGATGTATGGCCATGTTCCAGAAGCATTCTCTCCTGACATTTCACCCACATCTATGGCAGGCATCCTCAGAGATTGTGAGGTCTATTGGAAACTAAGCAAGGGGGGTTTAATGCTATTACTATTATAATCATTATTATATGGGTCTATGTGAGGGTTCCCCAAACTTTTAAGTGCAGAACAGTTTGATGGTCTCTCACACTGTTGTGAGGTCAGGTTTTAATTGAGTGTGGGTATGTGTATGGTGCGTGCATGCATGTGTTGGGCATATGTGTGCATGTGGCTTGCACCTGCCAAGCCATCTGTCCACTGCCACAAACACACAGCTACCACCGGTATTGCCACCACATACCTGCCACTGTCACTTACACCCACTTCATTGTGTTGAAATCTTTAAAACATGTTTATGTTATCAAGTTTTTGAAGAGGCAAGAAAAACAAAAAAGCCACAGAAGTAGTTCTCTCCTGTTCATTATTGAAATCACTGTAATCATGTCATCATCAAAGCCACAGTGGCTTTTCCTGGGAACACAATAAAAAAATCTGAAAAAAATGATAAATACTTGAGTACACTGTTCAAAGCTAAAAGTAGATATTGGGCACAGACGGAGTTACAACAACCTGAACAGCAGGCCAAAAGGCATTTGAATCTTGGAACTCAGCTTTTCCAAGGAAGACTGACGCTAGCAGTCACATTGTCAAAAGACGAAGAAAAGTCCACCTTCAGAGGAAAGCAATGCATGCAGACACCTTGATGTTGATCTTAATGCTGCCGG